CCTTGGTTGTGTATCTAAACCTTAATTAGTATACTTAAGCATTGCATGTTTGATTTGTGCAATCAGACTACATTATGTATACTTGTGTCGTGTATGGTTGTCTTATGCGTAATTCATTTAGCTTAGTATACTTGTGCATGTATGCTTAATTCATGAGTTTTCCATGTTAATTGTATGTTTGTACATGAATGCTTAGACAATGCATAACTTGTTTAATATGACCTAGTGTACTTGTGCATGTATACTTGTATGACATTCATTTCAATTCATGAGTAGCTTAGAATGATCCCTGAGTCTCACTTTGACATAGACGTTAGGTGGCATGAGCTATTTAACATGTTTCACCTTAAGGTGATATAATTGTAAAATGCTAGGTCGATGCATGTTCATCTCCTACGAGTAGCTTTATGTTACTTATCCACGTAGTGGGGACATTTTTCAGGTACAGGGACCTTGATTTGGGATGCACACTATGCCACGGAAGTTCATAGACTTGAAGTATCATTTTCATAAAAATGTTGGTATGAAATCCTATTTGTATCTTTATATAACAAACCTTGTAATTTTGTTCTAAATATGTAATGTGTGCATAAGTACATCTTTTGCATTGTATTTGATATGTATAAAATGAGGCTAAAAGCCAAGCATGTTTATATTTACACTTGTACTCATTTGGTGCCAGGTTTTGTTTAAAAATGTAATTTTTATCAACTTAGAGGTTTAGCATGTAAAATCTTGTAAATAAAATGTAATGAGGCCGTAGGCCATTGTAACGTGTTTAAAATTCCATATTACACTTCCGTGTATGTTCACACCATCACACAGTAGCATATAATGCAATTTGATCATACCATGGGGGATTCAAATGAAACTTAGGAATTCATTTCAGCCTAGGTGCACAGTAGGCCTGATTTTTAGTTTTTGACCTGTTTCGGTCAACCGATGGTTTGTTTCGATAGACCGGTTCTTGGTTCCATTCATTTGAATAGTAAAATCATGCATTCCAGTAGGCTTTTTCACCGTCTTGACCTGTTTCGGTCAACTGGTGGCTTGTTTCAGTCAACCGATTCTTTGTTTAATTTGATTTGAACAATGTTTTGTCAATTCTAGTAGCCTTTTTCATCTCGAGCCACAAACCAGTCGACCGGTTTGTTATTTCGGTCGACCGAAATGAAGGCTCAATTTTTCTCTTTTTCTTGGTTCATTTCGGCAGGTCGAAGCTCTATTTCGGTCGACCGAAATGAGGCTGCCTTATGGGTTTTGTTTGGTTTGTTACCTAGACAGGTTAACCTTATTTCGTTCGTTCCCATTTGACCTTGTTGATCTTGCTTGAGCCATTTAATGGCGCACATGGTCTAGTTTGAACTGGATCTTGCTCCTTTGGTTGTCATTGGTGCCATATGGTACCATTTAACCCATTTTCAATCTAGTTTTCGCTTCCGGTTTTTCCTTTGGGTTCCGTAACCTCATGGAATGTCATCTTAGGGCTTTAAAGGTGTGTTGTGCCTTGGGAGACTATTGTCATGTTTCTTGCTTCCTCATCTAGATCCGTTTTCGGGTCAATCTTCGGTTCATCACTGCTGCTCCGGATCGAATAAAACCTGGGTCATTACATAACCTCACTTCTCGTGTTTGGAGTTGGTTTTTAACTTCACGTACCTTCATTCTAAGTGGTTTTCACGAAATACGTATCTTTGTTTTTGTAGAAAAGTACTTTTGTTGCTCCCTGTATCTTTGGGGCATGGATGCATAGTTGTTCAGAAACATTTTCTTTTCTTTAGGTGTTTTTCATAAATATCTTTTGAAGATATTTTATTTCAGGGGTTTTTAAGAAAATATTTTTTGAAGATATTTTTATTCTGGGTCATTAGTGCAGTTAACCATTATGGAATTAATGAAAGTTATTGCAAAATGTCTCGTTTTGGGTCTGGATCCTTGTACGAGATTCATTTTCACTTTTCGTAGAGTCATGTACTCTTAGAATTGTTTTCTGGTCATTTTCACCAGTTTTAGGGTTTTTGACCCTAGTTGCCGCCGAACTTGTTTGGGGCATATCTTTCTACTTGGAACTCAATTTTTTATGTCGTTTCTTTCGTTGTTCATCATTTCTCATTTCGGTTCTTTTTTGTTTACAGAGTTTTGCCGTTTAAATGTGTCTGCTCAAATTTTACTTTTCTGAACCCGGCGGGACCCATTCGGGACACTTTTAGGGTTTTTCAATAAATAGGTTAACTTGAGATAAAAAAAAAATTAGATTTTCTCTTCTCATTCCCCTCTCTTGGCTGGCAGCCATGGTAACCAAGGGGCTGCCACCCTTCTTCTTCTTTTTCCGGCTTCTTCCCTCGTGGTAAATGCCGCAGGGCCTTATCGTTTATTTTAGGCCTTGGTGAAATCTTCCTTTCCCCCTTATTAGAATCCGTTTTCGACCATTTTTTAGTTCGGGTTTGAATTTTGGTGGTACCTCCTTGGTGTTTAATGTTCACCTTATTGTTCCCGACATAACCTGGGAGTATCGTCGGATTCGGAACGATTTTCCTTTAGTGGGATTTGAGATTTCATCTCAAATGGAGGAAGGAGATGTTATAGGTTTATATTTTTGTTGTCTTGCATGCTATTGATGCTTATACAACTTATATGCATGTTTTGGTTCATAATCTAGAATTTAATTTAATTATTTTCTTTGTGTAAGATTTAATTCACATGGTTGTTTATGTAATGGAATTAAATTGTGGCATGCTATTAAATTAGGCATTGATATGTTTATTAACATATATTAAATTGAGAACATTTGAATAAGTATTGAAACATTTATTTAATAATTTTCTTTTATGAAAGTTTAATTCACATGGTTGTAACCTTCATGAAATCAACTTGTAATTTGATATTAGAATAGGCCTTGGTATGTTCTTTAACCTATGTTAATTTGAGAGCATTTGGATGAGTTTAAAAATTTACAGATTTTAATTCAAAGAATTAATTAAAATCTATTTAATGGCTCCATTGGCTTAATTAAGTTTTTGAATAAATATATGTAATGACCATGTTATGTTGTTTAATATATGTTAATTAGGAATTATTTGGTTGAGATTTGAAACCTAGAGAAATTAATTAGTTTATTTAATAAATTTCTGTTTCTATTGCGTTAATGATTTAATAATGTGTTCGATATTAGTTGTAAGTTTAAATCATGATTTTGGACTTGTAATGGATACACGAGTTTACGTTTTCAATATTGAATGATTATTATAGTGTGTAACGAATCGCACACGGAAGATTCGACATGTGATGTTATTATAGTGTGTAACGAATCGCACTCTGAAGATTCGACATTTGTCATGCTAAAGTAGTTGTAGACTTAGAGCATGTGTTGTATGGTTTCAACCTACTTATGTATGGAAGGTAGTTTCATGCATTATTTAATTCGTGTATAAGTTATTAACTTATCTATTTATTTTGGAGTTACTTGAGACATTGTTACAAGTGACATGGCTAGAGTTTGGCTCTAGTACGGGAGGTATGAGTTTTCCCCATTTATAGTGTGCACTAGGGTGGTATTCCTAGCAGGTTAGTGCCTAGAATAACCGTTTAGGTCTTGGTTTACTTCAAGATTTGATGTCCAAGTCTTCCACTATTTGTTTTCGCATTCAATTACAAGTTGACAACCAATAGTTAATTGTGACTTGTGATTTTGGTTATTGGCGATTTAATGTTGTTAAGTACATTTATGCATTATGATTTTAAATAAATTATCGCCGATTTTAATGTTATTAAGTACATTTATGCATTAAGATTTTTAATGAATCATCGCAGATTTTAATGTTGTTAAGTACATTTACACTTTAAATGTTCAAATGTAACTTAGGAATGATTCTATAAATTCATTTAGAATATAGACATTATGTGTCATGATCCACTTTAGTCGTTTCTGTATTTTAAATTTTAAGTTGATGGCTTTAAGAATCTATATCTTGTTGCTTTGTATAACATGTCCTTATGTTATTTGGAATTGCATGAATGATGTAGTTTATGCTAGAAATGCTCTAAGGTAACTTAGGATGCTTCCTGAGTCTCACTATTGATATAGACGCTAGGTGGCATGGTTGTATGAATTGATTTATAGCAACTTAATAAGTTTGTAAAACGCTAGGTCTTTGCATGCTCATCTCCTACGAGTAGCTTTATGTTACTCACCCACGTAGTGGGAACATTTTTCAGGTACAGGAATCAATATTCATGATTCACATTATGCTTGGATGATTTGTGGACTTGAAGGTTTCCATTCTTATAAAGGTTGGCTTGAAATGCCGCTTGTAGCCTTATATGTCAAAATGTGTATATTCGATTTTAAACATGTAATGTGTGCATAAACACACCTTTTGACATTCATTTTATGTGTATGTATAACATGAGGCCAAGGGCCATTAATTTTAAAGTTCACAAGTATGTTTTTAACTTGTTTCAGATCATTGGAATGCATGTATAGCCTTAAGGTTGGACTTAGCACTTCACCATGCATTGCAGCAGCAGCTATATATTGTTGTTTTTTGTTTCGTCGTTCGGTTGATTGTTGCTTTCTGTTTCGTCGTTTGGCTGATTGTGGCTTTTTATTTCATCGTTCGGTTGATTGTTGCCTTCTGTTTCGTTGTTTGGTTGATTGTTGCTTTCTATTTCATCATTCGGTTGATTAATCACTATAACAGATTAGGCTTTTACCAGCACTCCTAGGAAGAGCACTGGTATAGGTGTCACAGTACCAATGCTTTTAAAAGAGCACTGGTATAGATGTCACAGTACCAGCGCTCCTAGAAAGAGCGCTGGTATAGGTGTTACGACACCAGTGCTCTTTCTAGAAGCGCTGGTATAGGTCTCATTCTACCAGCGCTTTAAAAAAAAGCGTTGGTATAGGCCCTTCCATTCCCTCCGTTTTTTTTCCCTTCCCTCAAATTTTTCTCTTCCCTCCACTTTTTCCCCCGCATATTTATCTATTATGAGCCTGAACTGCGTCATTTTTTTTGGGTCCATTAACACAATATTCTACTTTCCCATTTCAATTTCATTTAGCCCTAATTTTCGTCTCCCTTCTTGTTTGTCACTCAGCCTTCTCTTCCTCTCTGCTCTATCCCGATCGTTGCTCCGTCTCGATCTCTCACTGCTGGATCTCCATTTCTCAGCTGAAGCACTTCTTCAGCTCATCGTAGGCTCTCTCTCTCTCTCTCAACCCTCCCTCTCTCTACCACCACCATCATCATCCTCCCGTTCTTTCCACCTGCGTTTCAGAGTACCTCAAATTCAGATTCTCTCTCTTCCCCTCACGGATCCTACTCATCCTCTCTCTCTTGGTGGTAAGTACCCCCCTTTCTCTCTCTATTATATATATATATACACACACACACACACACACTATACATGTTTGCTTTTCTTGTTCTTTAATAAAAGAAACATAAAATTAGAATCTAGGGTTTGTAACACAAGAAATGCTGGATATGTTGTTACTGAGCCAGATATCTGAAATTAGGGTTTGAAACGCTAGGAGGGTCCTTCGTTTTCTTAGTTACTGTATTCGCTGCTATGCCTAAACTATATTAATTAAGAAGTTTTGATCAATTGTTTGAGGGTTTTTATTCATGTGCATCTGTTTGTTTGATTTACGTACTTTGTCCATCAGTAAATTTTTGTACCTGCAAGCAGTCTCTTTGATAGTATTTTTCTTTTTGTTTTTATGAGAGATATATCTGTTGGTTATAGGTGTTCCTAATGGGTTTGTTGGGGAATGCAATGTTTCTGGTACCAGCCAAATAGAAAAGAAACATTCTATTTTGTTTTCGAAGCCTTTCGAATTTTCTGTTTTGATTAGTGATAGTCTGCATCAAACCCTCCTTAATATATGTGTGAATTGTAGAGAAGTCTGTGTACATGTAAAAGGAGTGATGAAACATGTCCTGAAATTCGGGTGGCTGTTCAATTTTTTGTTTTTGTTTTTTGTTTTTAAGATTAAGAGGACTCTTCTAGTTGAAATTGTTTCAAATTAAACGAAGTATCTTTGGCAGTCGACAATGTTTAATTAAATTACAACTGTTTGTTAGGAAGGGATGTTGCATAAATTATTTTTATCAGGTTTGTTTGTTTGTTTTTTTTTTTTTTTTTTTTTTTTTTTTTTTTTTTTTTTCTGCATTTCATTTTACTCCAGGAACCAAGTGTTTAGGCTGTCTTCACTACTATGACTCTGTTATACTGCTTTTGGAACTAGAGACCTGTTACCACATTAGCGTATAACGTGCAGTTCAATTTTAATTTTTAATTAGTTACATACCATTCTAGATTTGAGAGTGAGACTTTACTGTTGTAGTTTTGGAATGTAGATATATTGTCCCTGAAAGTGAATAAGGTGACTTTAATTTTGACAGGTGACTAAGAACAATAATGGTACGTTATTTTTCATGGTTATAGGTGATGCCATGCAACGTTTATAAAAAAATTCTCTCTGGGAACTAGTCAATTTTTTTGCCATGACTAGTTCCCGTGGATATTAACTTTTGGCTGGTTTCATAGTGTTGGGTGTTTTCATATTTTAAAGTAAGAAAGGTGTTGGACTTGTCAAATATGCTTTTTTAGGGTATGAATAAAAGCTAGCAAACTCATCTATAAAGAAAACAAAGAATAGTAACTCAATGTAACGTAAAATTTGATCATGTGAAACTCGAAGTGGGACGTGTCTTGAAAATTAACCAATCACTTATGGATTGCATCACATGTAAAATTATAAGCTCTTAACTTTATTATATTTTAACTAACTCTTTTCAGAAGGCCATAATTATGGCAATGAAATGGATTGTTGATCTTTCTTTCTGTCACTTTTGCAGATGAGGTCTACCATAGTGTCAATAGTGGTTTGAGAGATTTGCCTGCAGTTGAGCTATCTACACTTCCTTTAATACTGAAAGTTCAAACTGATTCTTCTGTTTTATTTTTAACGTAATCTTAGTTTTCATTTTCTTCTTTAAGTGTTCTTTTTTGTTATTTATTTCTCAATCCTGAGGCATAGTGTCAATTTTTGCTTAGTATATAATATATATAGAAAAGAATGGAACAAGAGAACTTATAATGCTGACCCTCTTAATATTAAAAACAAGGAGATGATGAAACAATGCATGAGGCCGGGGCATTCCTTCATTGGGTTTCGATTATCAGAATGTTGATGACTTTTATATACTAGTGAGAAGTAAATTGAATTCTACAAATTAAGTAGACTAAATTCAATGTAATTTTAATGGCTTTGCATGTAAAGTAATCATCCGTATTGAATATATATATATATAATGCTTTGATATAGCATGGCGTCTAAGTGCCATTGATTTGAAAAAGCTTACAAAAATGACATTATTTTTGCAACCACAAGAAACCAAAATAATATTATTTTTGAATGTAATATTGTCTTTCTGATTTTTGCAACTCCTACTCTTAACATATCTTGTAATATTATTTTTGCAACTCCTACTCCTAACATATCTTTTTGAAATCATCAATATAGTATGTTTCTGGTAAAAAACAATATTACATTCTGTATCACAGTGTCAAAATTAGATACGTCTTTCTCATAGTTATGTCATTAATATTTCTAATTCCCTGTCTAATTTTCTTGACATGGCAGTCATTGCGCCACATCACGAAAATCAACATCAAGATAGAAATTTGCAGCTATCACATACCACCTTCTTCAGGTCAGATTAGTGTTTTCATATAATATTCGGTTTCTTTTTTTGTCAAATACAATTTTGGTCTCTTATTTGCCTTCTTCTTGAACAAAAAATTCTGTTTTTGTATGCTACAAGACACTGAGCTTGCTATGTTCTTGCTATTGCTGACAGTGTGACCACTATAGTTTAGCCTTTGTCCCAGTTTCCTTCGCATTAGCAATCAAGAAGGGGATAACTCGTATTTGATTGGCTAATATTCTTTAAAGGTATTGATGATTGCTTTTCTTGCTTTTTAATTTTTTTATCTATTCATTTAAAATTCCTTATGAGTTTCATTAGTTCATCAATATATTCTACTTGTTGCATGATAGGTGAATCAACTTTGGCATACCATCTTGCTGAATTATCAGCTCTTACAAATAATCGTGTTGCAATATGTTTTTATTTTGATTAATGCAAATAATTTTTTTATTTTCATGTGGAACTTTTGGAGATTGAACTATTACCTGTTACTTTCTTACCGTACAAAATGGACCCATCTTGCATAATGATAGTTTACTAAAAATTTAGGATCATTCTTAGGAACCCTAACTACATTTTGTTGAGGAATTTGTTTTAATGGAGTAGTCATGATTTTTTTTGTACATGTTACTTTTTTATTCTTTTCAAATACCTTGACTAAAAATACCCTAAAGTTTTGAGGTATTTTTTATTTCTTTTTATTGATTTTTCCTGGATTGTGCACTGCCTTTTTTAAACAATTTGATTGCATTCTCTTAAATGAATTCTCACTTTTTTGTTTTCTTTTCCAGGAAGGATAAATAATAAGCTGACAATGAAACGAACGGTTAGTGAAGTGGAAAAAGTGAGTGAACAAAATACTGAAGCTTCAACTTCAAAATCATCCCAACCACCGCCAAAGAAGAGACGGGGCCCGACACGATGCAAGAATGTCGTAAACGCGACAACCTTATTACCATTAAGGTACATATATATAGAGATCATCTTATATAGTTTACATAATTAGACTATATTCAATATGAAGGAGAAAAAAAGGATTTCTATCTTTATTTTTGTACTAAACACCTACAATTGTTAATTTTTGTTTAGGGTTAATAAGTTTGGACAGCCGATTGGCCCTGGAAGTGGTACATATACTAATTATTTGGGAACACTTGCCCGGAATGCTAATTTAGCTCCTTTGTGCTATAAAACTTGGTGGGAGATGCCTAAACGGCTGAAGGAGGAAATGTGGAACATTGTAAAGGTAAAACCCTTCAATGATATTAAAATAATTTTTATGGAAAAAGTGGATTAACATGCAACAATTATCACATTTTCAGGGAAAGTATGATGTGGGAATCATGTCAATACATTGGACAATATCCACCATTGGAAAAAAATTGAGGGGTTACAAGTGTGAATTAAAAAGTGAATATTATTCGGTTAGGGATACAGATGCAGAAAGATTGGCAAACCCACCACCTGATGTTGAAAAGGAGCATTGGGAATTTTTGGTTAGGCATTGGGGTACGCCTATTGCGAAGGTAATCCTCCATCTACCAATTTTGTTTAAAGTCAATGAGTTGAATTTATAATTTACCTGCTTTCAGTCATTATTTTAGGTGGAATGTTAGAACGTTTTCCTTTTTCTCACTTTTTGTAGGAGGTCAGTAAAAAAAAAACAAAGAACGTCGTGGGAAGCAGACAATGATGCATACTATAGGGACAAAAAGCTTTGCACATGTTTCTGCCGAGGTTAGTTGAAGTTTTGGCAATATAAATTATTTTAGTTCTTATGTCGTTGAATGATTATAAATGTTAGTGGTAAATAATAATATATATCACAATGTCTATGTTTCTTTTATAGATTGAGGAAGACGAAGGTATTCAACTTTCTTGTGCAGATTTATTCATTCGCACACATGTAAATAAGGATGGCAAAGCTACTGATGCTGCTGCTTTGGAGATGATTGTAAGTTTTTATGCTTCCATTTTGCAAAAAGGGGGTAACTTGCCTTGAAGTGACCAATTTTTAAACTCTTTGCGGTGTATTAGGGGGTCACATGCCTTGAAGTGACTAATTTTTAAATCATCGGCTCGTGTGGAGGCATTTTAATTTCATTGTTTATCATCGGCCCGTGTGGAGGCAATTTACTTTCTTGTATTTGTTGAAAAGCATGGGAGTATGGGATCATTGTATGTGGAGGCTTCTTGTTGATTGATTTGTGTTGTGGGGAAGTATTTGCTATTTCTTGTTTGTGTCAATGTGTCAATCATATTCTCCCCAACATGTATTTAATTTCCATTAACACTTGTACTCTATTTGTTCCCTCATCTTTTCTTCGTTTCTATGTTTTATTGCTTCATCCTTGTTCTACACCTAGTAATTCTTGGGAAATTATGGACACAATGTGAAGTTGTTTACATTTTTAGATTTCTGGTTCTGTTGAAGTTGTGTTCAGTTTATTAAATTCTATTATATTGACATTGAGTTCATTTTCTAAAATTCTACTTCTATTGTATGACCTTGCTAGTGTGTACTATTACTGCTATATTGGGATTGTCATTGAGTTCTTCTTTGAACATCCCGTGCTTGTCCTTGAATATGTTAAACACATCTGTTGAAACCCAAAATTGTTGGTTGAGAACTGATTGATACCTCAAAAATCACAATCAAGTTCGGGTATGAGGAAAAGAAAATACACTTCACCATTTAATTCTTGGGAAATTAAATCATTCATACAAGATAGAAACACACCAAGGAGACATTTATTGATTTTACGTTTTTTTCTTCCTTTTGTTGATTTCTTGAGATTCAAGTTTTTAAAGATTTTGTGAAGACCAATAATGGAAAGGGAGATAAAGGGAGGAGAGAAAATTAATAAAGTATGTTCTGATTCTAAAACTCCATTTGGAAACTCAAATCTAATTAAAAGATATTGCAATAATAAGAATGGAGGAAAAATTCGGATAGAAAATCAAATGAAAGAAATCAAGATGGAGACTAAAGTGGAATAATAATAATATATCCTTTAATTTGAACCTCAAACACTTTGTTAAGTTTGCCTGGATTCTTCTCCCGCCAGAAGCTGCGTGGTTCAAGAGAGCCAGTAGATAGAAGACCTACAATTTTTTTGGAATTTAGAAGTCACAAGATGTGATGCTGGTGATTTTTTATTTTTTTCTCTGGAAAAGAAATGATGTTGGTGATTTGATAAGTTTGAGGTTTTGAAGTATATATATATATATATATATTTGAAGAGAAGTTTTAGGGATGTAAAGAGGAGGTTAGTGGAACACGAATATCACTAGCCTTAATTTATCCTTCAGTTGTTTGTAAAATTCTCCCACATTCTTATTAGCATAGAGATTTTGCACATTTTTGTTTAATTTATTGACTAATTAATCTTGATGTCATAGCTCACAATATTATGCAATAGGGTGTTCTGGAATCTGGACCACTAGGTTATTAATGTCTTTTAAGAAACTTGGGCTGCGCGTCGAGTTTAAGGTGTACCTATTTGGTTTAAAGAAATTGAACTTGTATGAATGATTTTAAGAAAATACATATTTGGTTTAAAGAAATTGAACTTGTTTGTTAATACCATTTAATTCTCGGGAAATTATTTACATTTTTAGATTTCTGGTTCTGTTGAAGTTGTGTTCAGTTTATTAAATTCTACTATATTGACATTGAGTTCATTTTCTAAAATTCTACTTCTATTGTATGACCTTGCTGGTGTGTACTATTACTGCTATATTGGGATTGTCATTGAGTTCATTTTTTGAATTTTACAACTCAATTTGAAAAAAGGTAAGAAAATTTACATTTTTAGATTCTGGTTCTATTGAAGTTGTGTTTAGTTTCTGAAATTCTACTATATTGAAATTGAGTTCATTTTATGAAATTCTACTTCTATTTGTATGACCTTGTTGCTGTGTGCTACAACAGCTATATTGGGATTGAAATTGAGTGAATTTTCCGAAACTGTACTGCTTCCCATTGTCAACATGTTGCTGATTAGTGCCCTGAATTCTTCAATTTAATGTGTTCCTCTCAACCCCAATCATCGAAGTCCTAAAACAAAATAGAAAAACATCTTTCAAAGGCACACCTCTGTTTAGTTTTCAAAGTTTCAGAATGTACTATTTTATGTAGCGTTTGAAGCAATGAATCAATGCAATCTATGATGTAGTAATCACAAAACTGAGTCTAGAAAAAGATGTAGTGCTTCACATTTTCACTAAAGTTCATTTTACTGGCTGCAATTCTCCACAAAGAGAGTGTTTTTATTTTATTAAATTTTCCTCATAAATCTTCATAATAGTGGAACAGAAGAATAATGATAACACCATCTATAGTGAGAAAACAAGGTCACTCGACATCCTAATTCACAAAATCACAGGACGGAATGGCAAGTATATTATTTAAAGTCCATAATAGTAATTATATGTATAACAGTTTCTGGATTCCTGTTCTATCATTCATTTCATTAGATTTGTCTGGATGTTTCATAGCAGTATATCATGGTAGTTCAAACTTTTTTTTTTTTGGTAGGAAAACATAAAAGTACTTCAAAAAAGTTACTCTGACTCGCCTATTGGCACTTCCAATGATATGTTCTCCATTGTGAGGGGAGAAGAGAGAACTGGTCGTGTGCGGATGCTTGGCTTCAGGCCTACACCAAACGATGTTTGGGGGCCCTCTCCTAGTAAAGCTGAACTGATTAATAATGCGAAAAAATCTAATGAGGAGGCACGTGCTACACGCGTAGAGTTGCAGGAGACCATTTAAAAAATGCAAGCCGACTATGACAACAAGTTGGAAAATTTACAACAACAGGTGGCTATGCTAATGCAGATGCAACAACAAAATTGTAGTGGACAGGTATATTTATTATTAGTTTTATTCTTTACTAAATATATGTTTACTTATGCCAAGATTTCATGTATTTTGTTTTCTTATTTTGAAGGGTTCTGATTTGTTAAATGCTCCTCCTAGAGTATCCCCATATTCATTATCTAGTCGTGATGCCAATTCAGTTAAGGTTATGAACTTTTAATTTCTCTTATATATATGTTAATTTTTCATTTATTATAATGTGTGCGTAATGAATTTATAAAAAATGTAGGGTAATTCAAATCAAATGGGCAAGAAAACTTGTTGAAGTTGAAGATGGGGTCGTGGCTGTGCTTTTTGAATTTCGTTCGCCTTGGATGGGTTCTTTTTGAAAAACTTGTACTACATTTGTCAAAAATTGTTAATTCTTTTTGTCTGACATTTAGTAGCTTTATTTAGACAATTTGGATGGTATATTGGCAGGTTAACTTGTGGTTGTATTAATATACATTTTTGCTTTTTGGTTGACATTTACCAGGTTAACTTGTGGTTATATTAGTAGCCAATTTTGATAGTAATTTTCATATTGGCAGGGTTAACTTGTGGTTGTATTATGTAAAAAAAATTTGGATGATATTTTTATATTAACTTATGGTATATTGGATGACATTTAGTAGTTGGTAGTATTGATATGTTTTTTTTCAAAAACTATAAGGGTAAAAAAAAAAAAAAAAAAAAACCCCTTTACCAGCGGTCTTTTAAGAAGCACTGGCATAGGGAGGGAGGAAAAAAAAATTAAAAAAAAATTCAATTTACCCTTTACCAGCGCTTTACCAAAAAGTACTGGTAAATACACTCTACCAGCATTTTTGCAAAAAGTGCTGGTAAATACACTCTACCAGCATTTTTGCAAAAAGTGCTGGTAAAGTCCTTTTTACCAGCGCTTTTTTCAAAAAGCGTTGGGAAATACTCTATCCCAGCGCTTAGCGCTGGTAAAAGGCCTTTACCAGCGCTTCTGGAAAAGCGCTGGTAAAGGCCTACCGACACTGGATTTGCCAGCGCTTTTTCAAAAGCTTTGGTAATTGAATTACCAGCGTTTTTTAAGACTTTAACCGGCGCTTTTAAGACTTTAACCAGCGCTTTTGAGCGCTAGTAAAAGCCAGAATTGTTGTAGTGATTGCTTTCTGTTTTGTCGTTCAGCTGATTATTGCTTTCTGTTTCGTCGTTTGGTTGATAAGAGCCATCAGTCGGTTGACACATGCTCGAGATCAATTCTAGTAGCTAAAGTTCAGTTTTGGTCATAACACTTCAGTCAGAATGCCCGACCATGTTGGTCAGAACGACTGACCTTATAAGAGTGCCGAACGAGTACGCAGTGTTGAAGAGTGCCGAACGAGTGCTCAGTGTTGAAGAGTGCCGTACGGGCGCTCGGTGCTTTGACTTTAGACAAGTGCTTGTTCATGCCTCAAAACCTTTCTTTCTTTTACTTTGATCATCTTTTGCTTTTGCATTTCGGATCCGTTATCGGGTCATCTTTTGGTCATCAGTGATGCACCGGGTTTAGAAAACCAGGGCCGTCACATCCCATATATAATATCATCATGTAAAATATTAATTTTAATCTAAACAATATTGGAATTCATTTTTAAAATATATTAGACCCAATGAGCCTAAACTATTTGGGTCAACTTAGCTCAATTTCTTGAGCTTAATTATGGGATAATCATACACTTTCCACAAAATTTAATTAAAAATTTTAATTTTAATTTTCAGAAAATCAAAATTGAAAATATTTTGGAAAGTGCTAATTTTTCCTAAACCACCCAAAAAATTAATTCCAATTTTATTTAGTTTAAAATTAACTAAAATATAATAAAACAATTCATGGATTAAGCATAACATTCAAGCATATAAGCATCACATGAATATAAACACGTAATTAAAAATCATGTTGCACCATAAATAGTGCTAATCACCTCTCATGGCCAGTAAATAGTCATCTCATGATCATCTTGTGCTTAAAAAGTCCTCCATTAGAAAAGTTCACTCTTTATCTTGCTTGGAATTTTTTCTTGATCTGTTTAAGAACTTCAACCCTAAATTTAACAAATATAGTACAAGGCTTTGTCCTATGCCCAATTTAGGGCTTACAAAAATTCTAAACAAGATAAAATAAAATTAACTTATTCGGTTAGGTAAGACCAATTCTTATTAGATCAGCCCTTTAAAATACCACAACTAATTAAATAATTACATCACATGTAATTAAATAATAAATTAAATTTCAATTCAACTGGGCATGAGAGAGAAAATTTAATTCAACCGCACCTGCAATCAATAAATATACATACAATACATGCATATATCCTTGTAAAGGAGAATAATAAAACTGATTGCATCCAAAATTTTTAAAAAAATATTTGAACGATGCATGAGAACCTCAAACAGTGCACTTATATGGCATAAACAGTGTATAACTATGAACCTCAAACAAATATAATAACGTGAATCTTATATTCATTAAATAACCTGATGGACTACCAGATTCATTACTTTTGGTGTTATTCTCATGCGGCCCACTTGGTCTTTGTCAAGTAAATTTTATATATTTAAAACCCACCATAACAGATTCTAAGTAAGAAATAGTGAGGTGATAATTGAGAAAACCAAACTTGGTATTTCTCTTTTATTTCTATATTACAAGAAACGATACTGGGCATTCTCCATAGATAACCAGTGGCGGCCAATATATATAATATATATAGAAACGATACGGGCATTCTCCATAGATAACCAGTGGCGGCCAATATATATATAATATATATAGAAACGATACGGGCGTTCTCCATATATAACCAGTGGCCGTCAATATATATATATATATATATATATATATATATATATATATCTTTTTAATCACATTTACCAAAAACCCATCTCATGGATCAATATATAAAAATAAATAAAATCCAGTCATGAATTTAACATCTTCACATGCATAAATAAATATCATCACTATGATTTAATGAAAATCACATGCGTTGCTCTGATACCAATTGAAGGCACAACGGAAACATTTAAAAAAATTCAGGAGCGTTACCACGTGATTTTTCATCAAATCAAGAAGTACTATAAAGAGGTCTCATACTTTCAGACGATTGAATAATTGTCGAATACGAGAACACAATTCTTTGGCTTTGAACTCCGATGAACACTTTCTTCTTTGGCCTTGAATACTAATGAGTCTTCACCTCTAATATAGGTTTGTGGAATCCTAACCTTCTCTCTCACTCTCTGTATATTGTACCGTGTAACAGAATGATTTTGTATCACAGCGTTATTGAATATATGACTTGAGAGAGTAGGTTAAGGGGCTGTAGATGAGAATCCAATAAGGCTTCCTTATCCTATCTCCAATTGGATAGAGATAGAGTCATAACTCTATCCTATCCAATTAATTACAATTAGCACTACAATAGTATTGTAATTGCACTATAGGATTTAGAAATTACGACAATGCCCTATCTACTAAATAATTACATATAAACCCCTCCACTACTAAATATCCATAAGTAGCCCTAGAATAATATATACCGTCCCGGGCTAACTTATATTTTATATTCCTCGAGTAACCAATTTAATCCTTATGATTACTGAATTAAATTCTTTTATAAAAGGATTTTTTTTTAAATAAATAATAGAAAAATAATTTACTAAACATTTTACTAAAATGCCCTGGCCAGGTTCCAGTGATCCAACTTATTAAATTGCATCAAGGGGATATTCTAACTCTTATAAATAGTGTGGATTCTATGTTGAGCATTTGTGTTCCCAGGGCTCCAGTATTAGCAACCCAAGATACCGTGGTATTGGCCTTAAAAAGATCTCACACATTGTTAAGTCAAAGTGATTAGTACTGAAACTTGAGTTCACTAAATCTCTCAGGATTTAGAGCCTATGAATTTAGTAGATAAGAAACAGACCACAATAATGACAGTACATTGTATGGTGTGATCTTATGGTGATCTAGTTCAATGTACTCCAAGCACACTAAAACACTACCTTAGAGTCAACTACCCCAATAGTCGAGACAAACCATCCTATCTTATAGACGTTAAGTGTGTTATAGTCTTACAGATAAAAATGTTTCAACTTTTATCACTGACGGCGAACAATGCCAAGGTGCAAGAAACCGGTGAGTCCAAATCTCCTACGTGTAAATTTTATTTACACACTTAAGTCATCTATAATGCAACGTGAAGACTATAATGCATCTCATACAAATATATGTAAAGCCCAATGCATGAATATCATATTTATTAATAAAATATCGAATAAATAATATATAATTGGATTGTAGGGCATATGATCCCAACAATAATATAAAATTTCTTTGTATTTAAAATATAAAAATAATACTATATACAACTTCTTAGTATTTAAAGCTAAAATATTATTTAAAACTCATAGAATGGTCTTATTTGTATTTCATATTTAAAGTATTATTTATAATTATTAAGTATACAATTTCTTTGTATTTTAAACTTAAAATATTGTTTATAAATTTTGATAATAACTTCTTTATATTTAAAATTTAAAATATTATTTATAACTCTTAAAATGATTATATATATAGAACTTTAAATATTATTTATAACTCTTGAAATGGTGGAATATGCAACTTGTTTGTATTTAAAATTTCAAAATATTATTTTACAATTGTTGGAATAGAGAATATACAACTTCTTTGTATTTAGAATTTATAATGGTGGACTTTACAACTCCTTTGTATTTAAAATTTGAAATATTATTTGTTAATATTTTAAAAAAATGTATAGAAATAATTAAAAATAATTTACACACGTAGTAGTATGCAAGTATTTGATATTTGATAAAAACAAATATTATAAAAGTATACAAAATATTCAATAATTCTTATACTTTTATTGTAAGTATAGATTTATAGTAAGTAAATATATGGATTTATAGTGAATAATGTAATTGATATTTAATAAACAAAATTTAGTAAAAATGTATAGAAATGACAAAAAAAGGTTTTTTTGTATCCCAAATAAATAATCACATAATTATCCCATTTATTTGTTAATAACTATAAATAAAAATGGTAACAACAATGTTCCCTCTTTAAAATTTCTATTAAATACTCTTTTAAAGTTTCATATTTCTTTAAATGTTATCAATCTACATGACAATCCATCGAAACAAAACATTGATTTCTAAGCCATGAAAATCTATATATATATAACACAAAATAATGAAAGAGTGAAAATGCCCAAAATATATAATATAACGGGGTATATTTGATTAAAGTGCTAAAAAAGATATACATGTAACTTTTGTGAAATTTTAAGAGTTTTACCGTGTAAGTATTCAACTTCAAACTTAAACATCTAAAATGTATTAACATATTTGCTCAGGAATACTTAGCATCTAACAAATAAATTAACAAAAAATGAAATAAAAAATAATAGTAGTAGATGTTAATAGAAAGTTTGTGTTAAATTATTAATATAAGAAACCAGTAGTATAGTTGCAACATACAAAATTGAAAAAGCAAAAAAAAAGGTTTTATATGAAATTTTCTATTAACAAAGTTAATTCTGTTTAATTTCCTCGGACATCACTCAATTGCCTTTTTTGATGTTTCT